GCTGAAGCGCTCCCGTAGCTGGGGGCCTTGCCCTGGGGTTATGCAAAAGCATAATTGTGCTCCGGGCTCCGTCCCTATCCGCTCTGTAGATATACAGGATATCCCCAGTGCTGTGGTGCAGGCATCTAGGCTTACAAATGATCCTGGCAGCGCTCCATGGGGTGGCGGAGATTGCACAACCTCGCCTGCATCTTGCAATGTGCCGCCTCTTTGGTAACACTTTCCTTTCTCCAGTCCTCCTGGCGTTGTGTCTCGCTTGGGAGCAAACTTACTGGGAGAGTTGAATCCTGAGAATCCGGAGTCTTCTGTGTATACAGAGCCAGGTTTTTTCCCCTCTCCCAGTCCTTCCTGTGGTCAGGAGAAGGCTTGGGAGGTTTGTCCCTCTTTGAGCCCCGATAGTTTGGTCTAGAAGTGCCTTGAGAAATGGCCAGGGCAGGGCTTGGGAGTTCACTTTTCCGTGGGAATGAATTGTGTGGGAGGATGGGAAGGGAGGGTGCTCTGCACGGCACAGGGGGATCGGGTCGGGCATTTTCAAGTTCCCCAGAGTTAAATGCTCTGTTTTCCTCTCCCTCCAGCTCACACACGATCCAAATCCCACCTGCACCATCTGAAGAAGAGCAGGAAGCTGGAGGCTGCCAGCCGTGCTGCAGAGACTGTGGGGAACAGTGGGGGCACAGAGACCTCGGGGGAGGACAGCACCTTGCCTTTGCCGTAGGCCTGCAAACCGGCTGGCGAAGGAGAGCAGCCGCGCTTCCACCCGTATGGCGAGGAAGAGACTGAGTCCTGGGTGGCCTTGAACTGAAGGAGCTGAGTCATTTTTTTGGGGGGATGAGGCAGGTGTGTAAGTGACGGCCAAAGGCTGTCGGCTGCATCACATCCTCTTCATGTGGCCTCATCGTGCCGGGTTCCCATGCTTCCCCAGCCCTGCCTGGAAAGGGCTGGGCCCCGGGGCAAGGCTGCTAGGAGCATCCTACCATGCCAAGCATTAATTTCTGCTAGAGACGCAGCATTATCCTTGGAATGGTTGAGCTGATCCTGCTGGCATGCGAACGTGTCATTCTCAGAGACAGAAATACTCTGCACTCCTCCAGCTTGGCCAGGAGTGCAGCTCTGGAGCTGAGCGAGCTCTTAACTGCCTTTATTGTGGAGAGGATATTTTTTTTCTTTTATATGGAAATAAAGCTGCAAGATTATTGTGGGTTCCCTTCCCTATTAACAAGCACAGGTTTTTTTGCTCTCTGTTCCCACCTGGCCCAGGTTCCCTGCTCTGGGCACAGGGCAGGACGTCCTTCCTTCTTCCAGTCACCTTTTCTGCAGCTTCTGAGGGAGCGGAGCAGATGTTCTCAGCTTGGTGGAGGCAGGCTGATCCCTATGCACATAGCAGGTGCAGAAGGAGCTGGCACCTGTTAAACAGGAACTTGGAAATGATCTCATCAAGTTTGCAACAGATGAGCCTGTCCTAGTTAAAGCTGAATTCCCGGGGGTTTACACTGTGGTTTGGCAGTGGGAACCGGCCCTGCATTTGAATCCGAGTTGCTGAGCAGCAAATTCCTTGTGCTGCGTCCGCGAGGCAGTTGGTCTCCACAGTGTCATTCCTGGAGGATGCGAGCGTCGTCTGCGCCACCGCACTTCCCGCTGTGCTGCTCTGGATGAAACCGGGAGGGCCTTTTCCAGAGCATTTGGGATTCTCCTGGCAAATGCAATCAGGACGGCTCCTCCTGGGAGGGTCTTGGGGTGGTAGAACATGATTTTTCCCTTCAGCTGCTTGTGATACACCATGTGGCAAGAGCCATCTCTTGGGGCTCAGCCTGCAAGGGGAAGGGCTGTGTGGGCAGATCTGCCATCACAGGCTCTGGAGATGCCTGCTCTGGTGGGGATTAGATTAAACCTCCAGTTTGTGTTCCTCAGCGCTGAATTATTTCTGTAACGCTCTGTGGGGTGGCTGCTTTGGGCCGTTTGGTAGGGTTGTGGGGCGGCTCGGGAGCTTGGACTGAAGGGAGTATGTGAGGAAGAGCTGGGAATTTGGGTTGGCGTTTCTCTGCCAGCATCGGGCAGAGCTGGGCATCAGCTTTGAAATGCTGGGCACCATGGTTGTGTTGCTGGGTCTTTCTGCAGCGCCAGCTGAACCTCTTCTCAAGCCCAGACTTGTTTGCCATCCGTGCTGACTCAAGCATGCGTGGCTGTGAGCTCAGCCCAGCGCTGGAGCACATGGCCACGGGGTCGTGGTGTGGAACCGTGTTCTCCTAGCCTAGAGGGACGAGATGCAGGCGAGGCCGGGTGTAAAGCCCCATTCGCCGGTGATGTGCGTGCTCTTCTGATAGACAGCATGGACGTGTTGAGTTATCTCCCTAAGCTGGGATCGTGGGGCAGCTCTGTGAATGAGGGCTGGTGTTATCTGCTCGCTCTCCTGAGTGCAGTCAGATGACCATACTCTTAGAAATGGATTTGATATCCTTAATCGGTTTAATATGAACTTTGTTATCCCCGCAGATAAGCGTTATTCCTCTACCACAAATAGCTGCTAGTCTGCCTGTTCTGTTCAGGAGCCTGCTGGTAACCGGCCATGCTGCAGCCACTGTTGGGCAGGGTCTCCCAAGCCTTCCCCCTGCTCCCTGCCGCCTGCTGTGGCACCTTGTTTTGAGGGTGGCAGCTCCCAGGTGTCTCAGGAGAACGGGGGTCTCCCATACTTGCTTGTTCATGCTGTGGCTGGACTGGGGAACGGAAGGTGGAAGCACGCCCTGATCCTGCCAGCAGCAAGAAGCAGGTGAGTTTGCTTTCTCTGAGAGGTGGGGGCTGTCGATGAGGGCAGGGCTGGATCCAAGGGCTGGAGCACCTCTCTTACGAGGACAGGCTGAGAGAGTTGGGCTTGTTCAGCCTGGAGAAGAGAAGGCTGCGGGGAGACCTGATTGCGGCCTTTCAGTACCTAAAGGGGGCCTATAGGAAAGATGGGAAAAATCTTTCTAGTAGGGCCAGCTGTGTCAGGACAAGGGATAATGGTTTTAAACTAAACCAGGGTAGGTTTAGACTGGATATAAGGAAGAAATTCTTTACAATGAGGGTGGTGAAACACTGGAACAGGTTGCCCAGAGAGGTAGTGGAGGCCCCATCCCTGGAAGCATTCAAGGCCAGGTTGGACGGGGCTCTGAGCAACCTGATCTGGTTAGCAGTGTCCCTGCTCCCTGCAGGGGGGTTGGACTAGATGACCTCTAGGGGTCCCTTCCAACCCAAAACATTCTATGATTCTATGATTTATGCAGAGCCAGCATCTCGGCGATGATTTGCTCGCCAAGGAAGTTGCCGGTGTCTGGTGTGTCTCTGTTGTTTGAAGGACTCAAGGCAGGGACTGGGATCGAGCTCCTGGCAAGGGTCGCACCAGTTCCTGGCACCGGCACACGTTCAGCTCCTGTTCCTCTTGCTGTGGGCCCTGCCCGCTCCCCGGCCTCCTGCGGAAGGGACAAACAATGCGAAACCGCTCTCCAGTCCGGCCAGGGCTCGCCGAGAAAGTTGTTGTGGTCTCAGGTTTCAGGCTGCGCTCCGTGCCGAGAGGTTTGGGGATGGGGAGCGGCACTTTGCTCCATCTGCCCTCCGCTAATCCCCAGACAAACGCAGCTCTTCCATCTGTGCGGCCGGAGCCGCCGAGCCCATCACACCAGCCACTTAATCTAAATGGCTTTGGCCAAAGATAAGGTCATTAATTACACTGGGATTAGAAAACAGTGCAGGCCTGGCGTGGCTTGGCTCGCCATCAGTTAAGGTCCTCTGTACCCTGGCCCGGCTGAGCAACGCAGCTGGAGAGCTTGGGCTGGAGGAGACCCCTGCCCTCGCTGATGGGGCATCGTCCCCGTGGTGCTGCCTGTCCTCGGAGGCGTCCCCTCACCTGGGCGCGGGGGTTTTGGCAGGGCTGGGTGCCAGGCGGTGTTGGGGACACCCCCAGGACACCCCTGGGAGGAGCGCGTGCACCGTGGCAGCCAGTGCAGCCCCAATCCTTGCGTCCAGCAGCGAGAGGTACACGGGCAGCATCCCACCGTCTGCATCCCAGCACTTAGTGCCTCCAGCCTTCACCAGTGCCTTCCGCGGCACCACATCAAGCTCGGCCCCAACTCGCTGCCCGCACGGGAAGGTGGGGCTGGCTGAGCCCCACTGCGCTCGCTTGCTGCCACCATCCCCAGAGCTCCAAGCAGCCAAAGCCCCTCTGCTGATCTCAGAGCCAACATCCATCCATGACTTTTGAGGACTTGGGTTTGCTTCTCTTTCCTCCACCTTTTGGTTCCCTTTTCTTACCATGTTTTTGGCTGTAAAAAGCTCCGATCTGCTCATCCTGCAGGAAATTTCCTACCCGTGTGGTGCTGTCCTTCGCGGTGCCGCCTGCTCTGCCCTGCAGGGTGCTGCCTTGGGGACAGCCGGGGCTGGAGCCGGGGACGCGCCGTGAGTTTGGCCTCAGCCCTGGTAAGGCAGAGGCAGCACCACGGGGGGCTGGGGGGGGGCCGTTATGGGTGACCGGGCTGCAGCTCTGTGCCAGGAGCCAGCCGGCACCGGGGCATCGTG